AAGGAGGACAGTGATTGTGTCCACCTGGGGGGCTGCTGTCAGGAGGGCGTGAGGCAGCACACACCACCCGTTTAACAGCGGTGCCTGGCCCATCATTGCCTCCACCCCACCGGGACCGCCACCACGAAGACACTTTTCTGTGGCAGGTGGCATGTCTGCCGTGGTGTCATTCCATGTGCTGTTCCCTTGTCTACCTAATTCCAGCTCATCCTTCTAGAATCATCTCAAAAGTCACCCCTTGAAGAATGATACATACTACATTTACTCAGCGACTGTTAAATGTCAGGCACTCTTCTTAAAGGCTTGCCGATGTTATCCAGCTTAATCCTCCGGTAGCCTTATGAAGTCAGGAGCGATATCTGCTTTTATAGACGAGACACGGAGGCTTGGGGAACAAGTCTGTCTGATTTCCAGAGCTTGTGCTCATGCTGCCTGTCACTCCATGCCAACTCCACCAGCTCCTGCCCACCCTGGGCCCCTAGAACCTTGGACTTAAGCTGAGAGTTTGCCAGTCCCCTTTCAGACACCCTTTAGGGACCAGGGACTCATTGGAGTCATCCCGCTGGCATTCCCAAAACCCTCTCCCCTGCCCCCCGCCCCCCGCCCCCCGCGACTCAATCCCGGACAGCACACAGGAGGGCTGAGCCAGGCATGGAGGTGAGGAGGCGGCGGGTAGTGTGTGGCCACTCACAGGGGAGCACGCAGACAGCAGAGGGTCATGATCACACCAGCCATCAACCCAGGGTTCTGAGACCGTGGTCCACGGGTCAGGTCAGGCCGCCTGCATCAGACTCACCTGGGGGCTTGTTACCAACGCCAATGGCTGACCTTGCCAGGGTACATCTCGCTCTGTAGATAGCAGCCTCTCCAGGTGGTTCTGAAGCACAGCCACATTTGAGACCTGTTCATCTGGTCCAGCCAGGAGGAACGTGACTGGCCCAAGGTCACACAGTGGCGGAGCTGGGGCCACTCCGAGCCTGTGTTCTTCCTCCGGCTCTCTGTGGTTTCAGTTTGGGGATGTGTGTCTGACTCTAATAAAAACCAAGCTAAATCCCTTTTAGTTTACCTACGGTTTCCTATGATTCATGCCTTAGCCTCTGCTCATTTGCTTATAATGTCACTGAGAATTGACATTGCACATGTTAGATACAGCTTTACTCTTTTAAGCACCAGCCTCCCATTTGCTGCGCCGTCAGGACTCTGGGCGGTCCACCCCCTCCCACAGCTGTCTTTCCCTCCGTGTGCTGCCGGGACCCTCCTGCTCAGTGGCCCCGAGGGACTCCTGCTCCCCTTGGCCTCATTTTGGTGGGCTCGAGAGGGGCCAGGCCCTCTTTGGATACAATCTAGAAGAGAGAGAACGCTTTTTCAAATAAACCTGAAAATAGCTTCTCAGAAGGCCCTGCAGCTTGGGGAGTGGGGTGTCGATTCATTTCAGCTTAACCACCGCTCATCAAAGGCCTCTCAGGCTCAAGGCCCTTGCTTGGTGAGCTCTCAGGCGGATGCGGAGATGGATGAGGGAGGCACAGCTGCTGTCCCTGCCCTGAGGCATCCTCTGTCTCCCCATCCCATAGTCCAGTAAGTCCGGAGCTGTTTAGCATTCTGTGTGGGCCTCACACGCCCAACACGTCAGGCTCTGCTGTGGGCTGGCAGGACACTGGCTGGCCAGGAAGGTCGGACTTCGCCCATCACTGGTGCCATGATCCGTGTCAGCCTGTCCCCAAGGCTGGGCCTTCCCAGGGGTGATTAGAGGGCCCCTGGTAACAACTGCTCCAGACAGACCCTGCACCTCCCTGTTGCGGTGGCCCCTGTCTACAGATGGCCAGTGTGAACAAAGGTGATTCAAGGCAAGAGCCCTGATCCACACCCTGGAGTTCTGTTTCTACCTAGCGGTGTGACCTTCAGCAGGTCACTCTACCAGCTAAGCCCTAGTCTCCTCAACTGTCAAACTGTGGGGGAGACCCCTGCACCCCTCCCTGGAATTTTGGCTTGAATGAGAGAATGCACTTGAGTATGTGGAATAAGCTGTAAAGCACAATAAAAAGGACTGTGCTATTAGAATCACAAATTGTTTGTTCCCAAAGGGACTTCAGAGGTGATCTCATCCAGTGGTTTTCTTGGACCAAGGAATCCTTTCCCAGAATGAAATCTTACACCGAAGCCCAATACATGAAACAGGAAAACCTGGCGCTGCTCTGATGGGAGTTTGGGGACGAGGCCGTCCAGCTGGTGAGGGCGGGTGTGAGGGCGCTTGCTCAGGGCCCAGCCTTCGTGTGGCTCAAATTAATTTCATTTCGAAACTTTTCACCTTCGTGGCACCTCTTAAAAACCTTCATCTCAAGGCTACTTCTAAATATCAGCTCGCTGAGCTCATGTAAGAGATTGAAAAAAATAAAAATTGGTCGGGCAGGGATGATGAAATCAGTATTAGGTCAGTCTGACTTAAAGCTGAGTGAAAATGGAAGTCCCTTAGGATTTTATTTATTCCTTACTCTTAAGGAGCTTCTGGGTCGTGCACTGAGAAAGCGACCTGTAATCTCTTTTTCTCTCTCTCTGCTAGACCACAAACATCAGAAATAGACATGTGTGTGTGCGTGTGCATGCTGGGGGCATACACATCACCTCTTTCACCCTAGCATGGGCCTCACAAACAGGGGGTTGGCCATAATTTATTCACTCATGCATTCATTGATTCATTGACCACTGATGGAGCGCTGTATGTGCCAGGCCTGATACTGAAGGTGAAAAACACACACCCACACAAAAATACAATGGAGACTAAAGCACTGTGCCCACCTTCAGGGAGCTACTGCCTAAGGAAAAGACAAATGGGCAAAATGCTGCCTCTTAACAAGAATCTGCGACGGAGGAGCATGTGGCTGCCCCAAGCCTGGTACCACCAGGAAGGTCTTCTGACCGGGGGTCAGGGAGAGGCAGGGAAGCTTGCTGGAGTAGATGACTCCTAAGCTGAATCCTGAAGGTTTCGTAGGAGTCCTGTTGAAGGAATGGGGTGGAAGATGATATTGATGGGCGTTATTTCAGGACCTGAAATTGCTCAGTACAGACAGAGCATATAGAGCCACTGATGGGCAGGCGAGTTGATCCCACAGCTTTATCAGTCATGTCTTACCGTTTGAATTGATCCATTTCCATCCACCAGGGGGCAGTGAATCTGCAATGGAGACTCCACACCCCAAACTCCAGGGGCTCTGCAGTAGGGGGTCGAGATAGGCACCATTTAGCTGAAACATGGAAACGGCCTTCCCATCCTTTAGGGCTCTGCACAAATACAGAGGGCGCCTCATCCCCCCCACACTGATGTAATTTCAGTGTTGGGCAGAGGGGGTTCTGGGGGACACTACCCTTTCCAAAGAGAGGGTTTTGAGGAAAGAATTTCAGAAATGCTGCCTGGGATATTGTCGTCTTTGACATTCGTAAGGCTCACTAGCAAGTTAAGGCTCTGAGAAGTCCTCCAGTAAAGCAGCAAATTTAACACTGTCATGTGGCTCAAATTCATTTCATTTTGAAACTTTCCACCTTCACGGCACCTGTTAAAATTTCACCGAACATTTAGAAAAGCAAGACAGACTTTCCCAGGCCTCCAGCTAGAGCCTGTTCGGAGCAGAGGGCATCCTGGGCGTGGGGTCTTGCCCATCATTCCTAGCGCACGCTGCTGCTGTGGGAGCTCTGGAGCATTTCAGAGCAGAGGAGCTGCTGTGGCAGCACAGACTCGTGGTGGTGAGTCACGCGGCCACTCCTGCCCACTTGGATCTAAAGTACTTGGCCAAATGTCTGGTCATGGCTGCCTCTGAGAAAAGAGTCCGTGACCAACTTCTCCAAAACAGCGGTGGAAGTTAGCAAGCAGAGGCCGAGACCCCGGGTAAGCAAGGCCGTCAGGCCACAGCAGCTGTGTCCGCAGGGCCGCTGGTCTTATTCTGACTTCCAAAGGGGGCGCAAAGGCCTTCTGGGATTGCAGGCAGCTCTTTCCCGGTTCACCTGCGCGTCGGGTGAGCCAGTGACGTTCAGGTGGGGCTGCCCGGGGCACCCAGGATGAGCGAGGGCAGCACCAGCATGGCACTCTGGGAAAAGCCAAGAGCTTCAGAGAGTCAGCATAGATCCGAGGAGACTGTAGCCGGTGAGTGCTGAGCTGCCCGCTCTGATGACACGGCCACAGGTGAATGACCTGCGGGGCGTTTGGCTGAGGAGCACATCCAACTCAAGGAGGAGCTACGTGTCCACCGCGGACGCATACTAAGCCTTTGTTAACCTGCGGGATGCTCCTCTGTACAACCTCCTGGGATAAGTTTTGTGTTGACGCCTCAATATTTGAAGAAGTGCTTCCTTTTCTTTAGCCTTAAAACATCTCATTTTATCTCAAGGCTGCCCCTGCCCTTTGATGTTGAGAGTGGGTAAGAAGACTGTGTGTTTGAACCAATCCCTTCCTTTTACAACATTAATGAGCTCTGTGATTTCATCTTTCCAGGCAGAAGACATTCTCCCATTGATTCATTAGCTCATATTTATCTGTTATTCATTCATTCATTCATTCCACAAATATTTACAAAGAGCCTCCTAGTTACCAGGCGTTTTCCAAGTTCTGGAAACAGAGAACAAAAGAGACAATCCCTATTCTCTTAGGTTAGAGCATATATATATAAAATACGAGGTTATATGCAAAGTACTGTGCTAGGCCCTTAGGGAGCTTTCAGAGGTGATAGGATAAAGATGTAAACAGCTGGTATCTTGTTTGGGAACTGCGGCTTACAAAGAACAGAACCCCTCTTGAAGAGGACACAGTAAGAGCCCATTTCTTGCTGTTGGGAAGCCAAGAAGAGTTTAGGAAAAGGCAAGTGAAGGCAGTCACCAAGCAAAGCCCAGAAGGCTTTGGCAGAGATGTGAGGGGCTGGGAGCCTTGCCCGTGGGGGCGGGCTGAAAGCCAGAGCTGTGACCCGCAGAGGGACCGCGTGGCCCATTAACACGCGTGTCATTCTGTCTCCCCCCAGATCGTGTTCCGGAAGATCAGCGACGTGAAGCGGGAAGAGGAAGAGCGCATGAAAAGGAAGAATGAGGCCCCCCTGATCCTGCCCCCGGACCATCCTGTCCGGAGACTCTTCCAGAGGTTCCGGCAGCAGAAAGAGGCCAGGCTGGCGGCCGAGAGGGGGGGCCGGGACCTGGATGACCTGGACGTGGAGAAGGGCAGCGTCCTGGTGGAGCACGCCTCCGCCAACCACAGCCTGGTGAAGGCCAGCGTGGTCACGGTGCGCGAGAGCCCCGCCACGCCTGTGTCCCTCCAGACCTGCCCCCCGGGGGCGGGGGCGCCGGACCTCGCCAAGCTGCATGCGCCCGGGTCCGAGTGCCTGGGCGCCAAGGCCGGCGACTGTGCCAAGCGCAAGGGCTGGGCCCGCTTCCGAGATGCCTGCGGGAAGGGCGAGGACTGGAACAAGGTATCCAAGGCCGAGTCCATGGAGACGCTCCCCGAGAGGACCAAGGCGGCCGGGGAGGCCACACTGAAGAAGACGGACTCATGCGACAGCGGCATCACCAAGAGCGACCTGCGCCTGGACAACGTGGGCGAGGCCAGGAGCCCCCAGGACCGGAGCCCCATCTTGGCCGAGGTCAAGCACTCCTTCTACCCCATCCCCGAGCAGACGCTGCAGGCCAGCATCCTGGAGGCCAAGCTGGAGCTGAAGGAGGACATCAAGGCCCTGCACACCAAGATGACCCACATCGAGACACAGCTGGCCGAGATCCTCAGGATATTAGCGTCCAGAAGGTCCTCCCAGTCCCCCCCGGAGCTGTTTGAAATATCCGGGCCCCACTCCCCAGAATCGGGGAGAGACATTTTCGGCGCCAGCTGAGAGGTCTGTTCATGAACAGTTAGAGACAAAAACCGACCCCCCCGCCCTAGGCAACACCCCCACCACACACACCTACATGAGCAGCAACTCTCAGAGCAGGCTCTTCCTGACAGAAAACCAAAGTGGGACCAGTTGCTTAGGCACACGCTCTCCTTCCGCCAAAGGCGTGGGGAGGAGAGTGTGCATCGGAACTGTCTTTGCACAATTTCGGAAGAGGGGGCATGCGGTCTAAAGGGTGTTTCCCTTCATTTTTAATTTTTTACTGCCGTGATAGTAGTAAAAGATGAAAACTACCAGAAAAGAGCAGCCGCCATTTGGACACTGGTGGGGGAGCAACGGGTCTGGCTCCTTCTCCCAGTCCCCAAAGACTGTGGTGGGCACAGGACTTCCCAGCATTCCCTGTCCTTGTACAGCCTGTGTCTGGCGTCACCGTCTATTTTCCTACAGTCGTCGTTTGTAACGAGCTCGGGACCAGGGGAGTTGGAGGGACAGGTGGGGGAGCGCCTTTCAACTTCCTGTCTCTAATGGTTAAGGCCAAAAAGCAGCTGAGGTGCTGTGGGTGCATCCCACAGACACAGAGCCGGGACTCCCCTGGCTCCTTTCTCCAAAGAGGTGGACCAAGCGTCAGAGCTGGAGAGGGGCCCTTGGGATCCAGGGATTCTCCGCAGCTGGCTCCTAAGGATGTTCCGAGGGGAGGGCTCTGGGGGCCCCAGATGAATTTTGGCCTTGCTTCATGCCACTGGCCTCATCACCAGGCCCCTTTGCTTCTTGTCCTTCTCCACCTCTCCCCGCGTGCTCCTGTGGCATTCCTCAGGGTATGGGACATCGGCAGGAAGGGTGATGAGCCCAGAGTTGCTTCATTAGCCAAGCAGACACACATAACCTCAGAAAAATGATTGTAGCAAGTGCTCTGTTTCTATTATCATTCTCATTGGGATTGCCCTTCAGAAGTCTGGATTTTTTCCGCTGCATGGGGTCGTTCTAGGACACGTAGGAGCCAGGCTTGGCCTTATTTTAAAGCTACTCTCTTTACCTCCTACTAGAGTCAGTAGGACTTCAAAAAGATTGCAGGGCCATGATGGTCCTCGCTTCCGGAGCTGGGAAAAGAGAACGGGGCAGTGGGTTTTCCAGAAGTCTGTGAGGTGGTAGAGAGAGGTGGCCGTGGAGCCATGGTCCGTAGGGAAGGTCTGAGCTCAGAATGATGATCGTGGGGCCGCCTGTGGGACATCCAAGTCCCTGTGCCACCATCCTCGGGGACTCTCCACTGCTTCCTACGACCTGGGGCAGGTCATTCCTGTGCTTGGGCTGCTGTCATCGGTGTCTGGAAAGGCAAGAGAAGAGTTCCCTCCCAAGCAAAGTGGGGCTCGCCCAGGTGTCGGCCCTGCAGAGAGGAACCAGGACCCTTAAAAACTGACAAGCAAGGTTGGAAGTTGAGTTCTAAGAACTCAGCTCTGGGAGAGTGAGGCCGGCATGCAGGTGGTCTGGCCTGTGAGTGACAGCATGGCGTGCCAGGGCCCTGGCCTCTGAGCCTGCTACGCTGCGGCAGCCCTCTTAGCGCCTGTGCCCGCAGTGCCTTGCTACAGAGAACCTGGACCCCAGCGCTGGTTTCCCTGGGACTGAGGGGACCCGACAGGTCAGGACCTGCCCCAGCAGAGATAGTCAGTGGCCGTGGCGTGACCCAGGACTTGGCCCTCAGTCATCTGGGCAGAGTGGAGCTGTCCTCTCCTGGCTCCCAGGGTTGGCACAGACGGCCCTGGGCAGCCAAGTCTGGAGGTCAAGGCCAGGGACCTTCCCCAGGGGTCCCGCACTCTCACGTGAGGCTTACAGGGGTGGCCCCAGGCTTCCCGAGGCTGAGAAATGATTAGATTGAACCTCAGATGGAAGCCTAGAGAGAAGAGGAAGTGAGATTTCCTGAGGCCGAGTCATGATGGTTTGTGATCCTGGGTAAAACCACGGGCTCTCAGCTTCTTTAAGTTGAGAAGCTGCCAATGAGTCCTTGGGCCAGAGGCTATAAAATATCCAGAATCCCATCTATCAGCTTTTCCAGAAACGTTCTGGCTTGCCTTTCCTTAAACATGCTCCTCACCTGCTGGAATCCCAAAGGTTCGGGGCTGCTGCATTTAAAGGAGGCACGGGCCTGACCACTAGCAGCCAGCTTCAGACGCACCTGCCCACTCTCCAGGCCCCCGCCCAGCCCTTCCACCTCCTGTCATCTCCGCCTGAGGGGCACAGGTGTCCATTCAGAAATGACTCCCCATCTGGGTCTGAGGGGCTAAGATGCTGATGCCTGAGGCTCTGAAGCCCAGACTTGTTTCGGGGGAAATGAAGCTTCATGAATGCGCTCCTAGGATTGCCCCTTAGGACTCAAACTGGGCTTGACTGGAAGCCCAGGCCTGTTCATCTTGAGGTCACAGGGCCCACGGCACGTGACAGCGAGAGCACACGTGTCTGTATATGCTTTTGTTCTCCATTTAAGGGTTTTAGGGACTTTTGCTGTAATTGTTTTCTCGGGGCGGGGGGGCGATTTTTTAAATGAGCCAAACCTTCTCTTCTTTCATGTTTATGACATGCACTGGGTCGGAGGCTGCTTTGTGCTAACCACCTGCGCTTGCCTGAACGCTGCTCTGGGTTCCCAGTAAGGACCGAGAGCTTCACATCCCAAGCAATGACTGAACCTTCCCCTGTAAACCATGCCATGACCCTCCGAAGGCCTGAGAAAAGGGAGCGTTTTAAGAGGGTTAGTGGGTAAGGTTTTAGCACTAGAGGAGAGGAGCCTTCTGCTAAAGCAGCGGTTCTCAACCTGTGGGTCGCGACCCCTTTGGTGGTCGAACGACCCTTTCACAGGGGTCACCTAAGACCATCCTGCATATCAGATATTTACATTACGATTCATAACAGTAGCAAAATTACAGTTATGAAGTAGCAACGAAAATAATTTTATGGTTGGGTCACAACATGAGGAACTGTATTTAAAGGGCCAGAAGGTTGAGAACCACTGTGCTAAAGGAAGGGGTTAGAAGAGGGCAAAGGTAGATACAGACAGAGCAGGTGGCGCAATAGGGTTAGGGGAAGCCACAGTTGGTGCTGCCAGGTAAGAGGCCTCAGAGGCTTTTAAATCTCCTTTGAGTCATTTAGTAGCTTCAGTTAACTTAGAAATGGCATTTGTAAAGAGGCCTGAATCTGTTTAGAAGCCTCTAAGTACCAATTAACGTCGCTTTCCCATTCAGATCCTTTAGTTCTACTGCCGCGATCTTCTCTAATCTAGTCCTGAGAAAAGTTTGGGGAGATTGAGAGTTCTGCATAATGACCACTAACGTGCTAAATAGTCTTCAGTAAGGTTGCTCCATTTAGTAAATAAATGCACATGAAGCAAAACTTTTAACATAAAGCCAGCTGGGGTGCCTGAAGGAGGGCCATCCTCAGGGCATTCAGATGCCTGGGCCCCCATTTCTCAGAGGTATTCTTGAGAGCAAAAGAAACATTCCTAATAGTCTGAAGGGGGCGCTTTCAGGTTGGGAGTTGTTTTGTTTCACTACTAGGACAACTAGGACAGTGTGCCTTTCACGGATACGTTTTGTTTTTTGTTTTTTTTCTCCTAGAGAACAACTTTTGCTCTAGTTGTTCCACTCAGGCCCAGGTGTCCCTCGTTTCACAGAAATTTTCCTGGCTGTTGGCAGGCAACCAGATGTCAGTCTGGCCTTTTTGTGACCCGTTTATCCTCTCACAGAGTCTTTTGCTTCAGAGACCAAAACTCTCACAAGGAGGTGGTGAGAACTCTGCTAAGATTTACTTGCTGGACCCATGACCATTGATATTTTTCATTTTTGCTCTCAAAAATTCCAAAGTAATTATACCAAAATCCTAGTGCACTTCTAACAAGGAAACAAACGAGTAGAATGGCCGCTGAAATTGAAGGAATGAAGCAGTTAAATAGGTTCTGAATAAGGAGGGAGAGGGAGGTCAGAATCCCAGAGGAGACTCCCCAAACCGGAAGTGAGGGAGACTCACAGAGGCTATGAGCACAGAGGGGCTCATCAGGGTACCCCCCTCTATTCTGAAGGAACTGCCAGGGTCGCTGTCCTTTGCAGGTCGTTTTTTTTGGGTCCCACTTCTAACACCAAGGAATGTGACCTAAATAAACAGGCAAGCTCAAAACTGTCAAAAAAAAAAAAGAAGAATTTGGGAATAACAGAGTAATTGCTATTCGGGACAAGCAAACTGTAGCAAACTACAGGCGAATCCTAAATGGCAGTTCCTTGGCCATTCCTGAGAACTCATCTTCTTTGGCAATTTTGAGCTTGCCTCTTTATTCAGGTCGACAAAGCCAACTGTCAGACTTTTGTCCAAGTCTGTGTGGGGACTACCTGAAAGCCTTAGGAATGCCGGGTGTAGGAAGAACCCTGCCTCCCCTTGTGCACCGTCTGGGAAATCCTGGGTGGAGATGCGAATTGAAGTGCATTTGACGAAGTGCAATAACGATGTTTAGCCTTAAGACCCTTGAATGGAACTCCAACTCTACTGGAGCTGCCAACACTCCTTCCCCTTTCTTCCCCCCAACATAGCGTTGCTTAAAGAGGAGGCCCACTGCGGGCCCACTGGGCCCCGGACAGCCTCTCTTCTGTGTAAATCATTGTACTGTCTTCTCGCTCGCTTCGGTAAAAATTACCTTCACCAGCTCTTGTGCCCTCCAACTGGAGGAGATTTCAGTGTCCTCTCAGCACCGATGGCAGCCGTCAGAGAAATCACCATTTTCTTGAGAACCAAGGTGTTCATGTGGAGAAGTTTTCATTTCCACGCCCCGAAGTTCAATGTGAATTTACCTGAAGCTTAGTTTCACATGAAACTTCTTCACGCGAGCTTCTCAGACTCATTCTGGAACCTCTAGAACTGGACTTGAATAACCTGCAGGTGCCGGACCGGTGGAGGCCCTCCTGGCCCACCATCAAACCCTTCCTAGAGCCATTGTCTCTTTCTGTGTGACTTCTGGATCCATTAGTTGTACAATGAGAAGCTCACGGGTCTTGTATCAGGATATGAACTACCTTTGTGTTGAGAAAGATTCAAACGCCCCCGATGAATGTATTCTCTTAATATTCAGACGCTGTATTTCTGCATCAGTTGGGACTGTCCCCATCCGACATCCTGCCAACACTGCAAGGACACCTACTCATGGGCAGTTTGTCATCCTGGGGCTTCTCCTTAGATTAACACTCTTTCCATTGAGTCCTGCCAAATCCTGCATTGGGTTTTCTTTTTCCTTGGCATCTGTCACTCTGTCCAAATGAGCATGAAGAAACACAAGTGCAAATGAGCCGATACTATTTTTGTGGCAGGTGGAGGATGCTGCCAGGAACTCCCTTGTATGTCTGCAACTTGGGAATGTTAAGAGGAACATTTGGGTCCCTCCATTGATGATATTCCCTTCTCAACATTTTTAAACAAGCACAAATGATATTTGTAAAAAAAATGTTTAATTTTATTTATTATGGTAATAAACTATTTTATACATGACACTTACTCTTGCCTTGCCTTATATAATTTCAATTGGGTGTTCTTACCTAAAATGACAGAACAAGAATGGTACTTCCTACTCCTTTTTGAGAGCTTGGGATGCTCTAATTTGGAGGCACCTACAGTTGTGGGTTTTAGAGAACTTAAAATTCTAGAGTCCTAGCCGGGTTGCTCAGTGGTTAGAGCATCATCCCTTGGACTGAAGGCTTCATCCCCAGTGTGTGTGGGAAGCAACCAATCGATGTCTCTCTCACATGGATGTTTCTCTTTGTCTCTCCTTCTCCCTTCCACTCTCTCTAAAAAATCAAGGGGGGAAAAATATCCTTGGGTGAGGATTTTTAAAAAAAAAAAATTCTAGAGGCACCAAGATTGTGTGTCAAAGTGAACAGTTGTGAAGGGGCTTTGCAATATGACCTGAAGTAGAGCTGTGTCTGTTCTACCTGTTACAGAGACGTCTTCAAAGCCTGCGTCACTGGAAAATTATGGCACAACACACTGACAACACTTATTTTTGAACAATTTGAATTGAAATTTGTAGTATAAGATATATGAATGCTGTCCTGCCTTTTAAAATATAGTGTAAAAAGACACCACACCTAAATCTTTTCAGAATGATTCGGTGTGGACAGGTTGACAGAACGAGTTTGACCTGTGCTTTAACTCACTGATGTTCTCAGAAGCTACGAGGGTAGAGGACTGCTTGGCCCTAAATTAGTCCTCCACCAGCACTGTTTCTGTCCTGCTCTGGTTTTAATAGGCATGGCTTCCTGCTCAGGGCAAGGTTCTCCACAATACTGCCAACCTGAGTTATTTCTTAATACCAATGGATCACGTTTCAACAGGGGCACTTTTCTTTTTACAGACAGCACAGCTTCAGGGGTGAGCCCTCTGTGATCTGCAAGCCGTATTCAGGCCTCTGCCTGATCTCATAAGGCCACAGAATGAATCCAGTATCTTTAATGACATTCTTCCCCACACCCTGTTATTTAATTAAATTGCAAAAAAAAGGCATAATAAAAATAATGTAAGGGTATATTGCTTTAAATTTCAAATGATTGGTATTTGTGCCAAAGATCTCCCCTAATAAAGCAGTAAACATTACATTCTTTAGATGTCCTCAATGGAGAAAAAAAAATCTCCGTGAATATGATTTTTATAATTAGTCAAAAGAAAGGCCTCAGAGCCTGGACAGTGTGGCTCAGTGGCTTAGCATTGACCCATGAACCAAGAGGTCACTGGTTTGATTCCCGGTCAGGGCACATGCCCAGGTTGCAGCTCATCCCCAGTAGGGGCGTGCAGGAGTCAGCCAATCAATTATGTTTCTCTCTCATCGATGTTTCCATCTCTCTATCCCTCTCTCTCTAAAAATCAATCAAAACGTATTTTAAAAAAAGAAAGAAAGGCCTCAGCGAGCTTTCTTGACATGCTGAGAGAGGCCGCCCCGTTAGGATAAGCTGCTTGTAATAGTGGCCCTACTAAATGGATCCGTTTGCCAGAAAACAAGCTCATTACATTATAGTTAATTTCTTACAGTCATTATTTTAAATAAGCAAGTGAGCAGTATCCATTTATTTAAGAGGAACCCCCTCCCACTAAATTACTATTCTCCCAACATATAGATCATTATAAAATTATTATGATTGATTTTTTCTAGGTCTGCAGTCTTGAATAGAAAAAAAGGTTTTTCTGCTGTCACTTCAAACAAATTAATCTGAAGAAATAATACGATACTTTTAAGTCTCTTGTGTGGCCCCAAGAATTAGTCAAAATGATTTAAGATCTGGCTGTCCTTCAGATGTCTTGCTTGCCTCCTTGGGGATGGCCTTGGCAATCGTGCTTGGAGCGCTTCGGCTTTTGCGAGGTTGGGGTCAAAGGGTCCTGGGGCTGGGAGTGGCCTTGGAGCCTTGTCTAGCCGTTTCCCAGCCTACGCCTGACGTTGCCAGGGCTGACGACTACGAAACGTGACTGGCCAGATATTCCTCAGCTGAAACTACTGCCTGACCAGGCACCTCAAGGCTTTCATTTAAAGAAACACCAAGATTTTAGTTCACTTGCACCAAGAGAGGTATGTTATCATTTTCATATGATAGCTGGGGAATAGCAAGAAGCTTAAGCAAAAAAACACTGGTCCGGCATAACTGACATATTGGCTAATCGGTCCTCAAATACAGCTCAACACAGTAATCACTTAGTAACTCCTGAGAACCACTCTAAATCATGTAATAGCTTAAAACAAATTCAGGATTATTACTTTCAAATATATTCCAACATAAAGAATGAACAAGCCTACTTTTTTTATATAAATAGTCTCTCTGAAGAGTTCAAAATCTTTCCTATGACTTATACATGTACATACACTTCCTTATAATCATCATCACACTCCCCTTTCCCC